TAAATTTACATAGTCACTTCTGCATTCAACCTGCAGCACTTTTTAAATACACTCGTCCCTCCACCTCTGCAGCTTTGACTTTTGATACTTTGATTATTCAAGGATTTTATTAACATGTTCTCTCTAGGAATATATAGGTACTCCAGCACAACTCTATGGTCAACTTTTATGAAAAGTCACCTGAAGGGCCTAGAGACTCCTAGAGAGAAGATTCCACTAGGCATTTGTAGCTCCTCCAGCACAATTCTATGTTCAATGTCTGGCAGATGTTGACTAGAGAGTTGCACTGGAGGACCCAGAGATTCCTAGAGAGGTAAAAACATAGTATTTTCGTTATTTGCGTGTTCCACATTCATGGGGGTCCTGTGTCCCTAACACCAGCAAATGTGGAAAGATGAGTGTAAGATTGAATTTGCACAACCGCAGCTGAGGACTCTGGTGAGATTCTGACCTAGTGTGGCTGCTATCTGCTACCTGTGTCAATTTCCCTTTGAATTGACTGTAGAAGGAACTGCATATTTAGCTAGCAGGACTACTCCAATAACATCAGCCACTCTCAAAAGGTGATGCAAAGAGACTGAAGTTATGTCTTGATTTGATTGTTCTGTAAAGGGCCATGTAAAATTTTTGAGAAAGTTATGAAAAACAAGGAGGAGGAGGAGGAGCAGCAGCAGCAGCAGCAGCAGTAATAGTAGTTAGTTTCCTACGTTCATCACAACCTTGAGACACTGAGAAAAAGAAGATCCCAGGGCAGGCAGCTCTTTTTTTTGCCCATTACACTAGGTGCCACGACTCCAAACCCTGGGCCAAGATAGAGGAAAAAGATATACAGTATGAGCATTTATAGATAATGAGAAGGGGGATACAACTAAGGGTTTGTCTACACAATTAAAATACTCCTCATTCTATTTGAATAGAATGCTATCCTTCCACAGATAACTGAGAAGAATTTGGGCTTTGTGGGGGTGGGTACTCCTCAACCTCATGTGCATTACTGAACATGCAGCTGTCAGTCCACTTTGCATGGCTCTGCATGGCTGCGCATTTTTAGCAGAGGGAGGGCAAACAGATACAAATTTCTGCAGGACAGTAAAGACGGTTAAGCACTGAAGTGAATGTGTGAGAATCCACAGCAGTTTGCATAATACACTTACATGTTGACTAGCCCCAAAGGGCAGAAAGAAAAACACAGGCATGCAAAATAAGAGACAATAAACACTAAGGCTACATGCAAAACTATCTTAATGCTTCTGCAAGGATGAGAGACAGCATGGCATAGTGTTTTGAGTGTTGGACCAGAGTTCAATTCCCTTCTTGATCATGATACCCACTGGGTGATCTTGGGCAAGTCATATGTTCTCAGTCTCTAGGCAAGGCAACAACAACCCCCCTCTGCCAAGAAAACCCTTAGGATTGCCATAAGTTGAAAATGACTTAAAGGCACAACAACCACAAACAAGAATAGTTTAAATTGAGTGGCAAAGAGATGGAATTGTTCCTCAACCTTTCAGCATGTGCATTTGTATACCTTTAAATTATCGCTCAACTCAAGCTTGTCCATCACCATGCTCATAATCAAAGTTTACTCTCCACTGTTTGAATACAGTATATAAAAAACAGCCTGGTAGCCAAGTATGTTTATTCATTCCCTTCTCCCCCCCCCCCCCCCATACACATATATAATCAAATCTTTTCTCTGCTAAAATATCAGGAAAGAAAGCAGGAGAGAAAAATCACCTCTCAGTCTATCAAAACAGAATAGTGCCTCCCACTGCATTTGTCTTCCACTGCCTAACCACATTCTATGATAACCAGACTGACATCATCCCATTGGCAACATGAGCACAGAGATAAAACAAAACACTCTCTTAAAAAAATCCACAATCTTCCAGTTTGATTAGCCTACAGGCCTGCCTCTGGCCTATAACAGAAATCACACACACAGGCCAGCAATGCATATTCATTGCACTATTCAGAATGCTTCTCTTTGTTCCAGCAAGCAGCTGGGCTGGAGCTCAGCATATCTCCCTCTCTCAAATAGCTCTGCTTATAGCTCTATTCATAAACCTTCCCTCCCGCGCCCAAGATCTGGAATGTTAGGCAACATGATGAAGTACAAACAAGATAACCAGAGATAACAATGTGACGTATTGTCTGCAGGCTGTAAGAGTACATCAGCACAGCAATATAGCTACACGCTCAGGGAACCAAATCACTACTTGTAGGCCAGGTAGAACAATTTTAGAACATTACATTTAAGAACCTGCCTACCCCACCATCTGGCTAGACCGACCCATGTGTTAGAAATATTACAGATACAAATATACCGATTCTGATAAGAGCTACAATATTTTAAGGCTTTCCCTCGCTTCACACACTAAAAGATACCTCCAGTTATCTGTTGATATTTTTCTCCACAGTTAATCTAGTCATCACTGTCCCTTCTTTCTCCTACATGTATTTCATAGTCACATTTTAAACTGGCCTAATAAAATAACTGAAATGTCTTTATGTGTTGTCATAATTAATTACTTAATTAATCTCTTAATTAAGTGGTGCTTCCAGAAAAGGCCTTCATTGTGCAATCACACTGCCTCACCCACATTATTTTACAGAAATCCAGCTGTCATCCTTCTACTTGTAGCATTCCCATGCTTTCCCACCACTTTCCCCATTTTTTTTCTTGGCACAAGAAATTGGATAAAGAGGGGAAAGTGGAACAATTGCACAATGTGTTTTGGTACGTAGCATCTGGAGCCCTCTAAGAGCATTCAAAGGGTGTTTCTTTGAATAATTTTAATGATGATGATGATGATTTGTTATTACTATTACTCAATTGCATATGTGTAATTAAGTAACGTCTCCAGGCCCTAGTCTTCAAGCCTACCTTAAAAGCCATCAGCTGCATCAAGCAAAGGAAGTCTCCTCAGCTGCTGATCAAGGCACAAGGAGAATGACATTTCTGGGCCCCTGCCACCAGGGAGTAAAGTTGCAACAAGGATTTGCAATAAGAGTCCTGCTATAAGATTGTCACAACTTTGCTTTTTGGTCAGAGGAGGTTGGAAACATCATCTTCCTTGTGCTTCAATCAGAGCTGAACAGATCTCCTTCTCCAGATGCAGGTGCTAGCTGTTATGTTTGGCTGGGGGGCAACACTACATAGTCGTGTTGACTCTGTTGACTGCAAGATCAGCAGATAGGCAGTTCAAGGCCAAAGTACTGCCAGTAGTGTCATGGGGGGGGCAGGTGCTGGCCACATCAGGTGACACCCAGTCGCGCTGCTTGGAGCTGCATGTGCGCTGCTCAGAGCTGCGGTCACAGCACCCCCCACAGGAGCTCCCCAGGGCTGCGCAGGTGCTGCTCCACCCCCCACCCCCACATGGGAGTTTCTTTAGGCAATGCCAGTGCCTTTTTGGTCTACATGGACACTCTTGTGCACTCCCCCGCCCCGGAAACCTCAGCACCGGAAGTCCCACCCCCACTGGCATCCTGCCCCCCCCACACACACACAGGTGTCATCCAGTGTGGGAACACTACTGAGTACTGCATGAGGTGAGCTCCCATTACTAGTCCCAGCTTCTGCCAACTTAGCACTTTGAAAGCATGCAAATGCAAGTAGATAAACAGGTACCACTTCAGTGGGAAGGTAACTGTGTTCTGTGCAGTTATGCTGGCCACATGATCACTGAGTAGTGTTTGACAACACTGGCTCTTCGGCTTTGTAACGGAGATGAGCACCAAGCTCTACAGTTGGACACAACTTGACAAGCTTGTCAAAGGGGAATATCTTTACCTTTACAGTAAGACTACACAGTCTTACTGGATATGGAGAAATTACAGCTCTATAACTCTAGGTTATGAATTTGTTGCAACAATACAGAATACCAGCCATTATTATTATTATTAGATGATTATGATAATAACAACAAGAACAAAAACTAAAATCTATTATTACATTCTGTAACCAGAATTAAAGGTGAAAGTAGACATCATGTGGCTCTGATAGCCTGTATCTATCCTGTATGTTTAAAACAGGGAGTGGAGAGCCTACATTTTACCAAAAAATGTACACATGTGCAGAGAACTAAACCATCAGGCCTTACTTCTGTGCCATCACTTCGAGGCTGACTTCTCCTGTCAACCTGGCTTTGATACTAGACGTTAAACTGGCCTAAAGGTGGTAGGGAGAGGAATTATGCATCAAGTAACAGACTACTAAGAGACAAGACAGGAAAAGGTGATACCATTCTCCACACCCACAAGTACATTTCCCTGAAAAAGCAAGACACTCCCAACTGATGTAGGAAAAATAAACAGAGCTGTCGCAAATATTTTTAAGTTTATCCAGATGAAATAAGTGTTTGCCTGGCTAAAAAAAATTGATATGATAAACCTGTGGACCTTACACATGCTCTAATGTTCCTCTATACAATAATTCGCTTCACTGCTCCCTGCTGTATCGGTTTTCTATATGCAAACTCCTTTTTGATGGAGAAACATTAAGTCATGAAACATTCCAATGCACTGTGAAACATCATAATCCAAACAGGTGCTTTGCGAGAAATGTTTTAAAGAACATATGGGGGACTGCAGAAACAACAATGAGTGGTTTATAGAATGCCTACTAAGCATCGAAATGAAACAACAATGGACAAGAGGATGGAAATGGAATATTATATTCTAGAGGAGGACACAAAGGAGGAACTTTCTTCATTGCTGTATTTCTTTCTTTTTTTTGCAGGGGGCACCTCTCAGTACCATTTAACAAGAACATTACCTCCATATTTGAATGAGGCATGCATGTTATTGTTCAAAGACTGTCCTTGAACATAAAGCTTTGTTGCTGTTGTGTGCCTTCAAGTCATTTTCAACTTATGGAGACCCCATGGCAAACCTATCATAGGGTTTTCTTGACAAGATTTGTTCAGAGGTGGGTTGTCATTGCCATCCTCTGAGTATGAGAGAGTATGACTTGCCCAAGGTCACCCAGTGGGTTTACATGGCTGAGCCAGGATTAGAACCCTGGCATCCAGAGTTATAGTCCAATGTTCAAACCACTATACTACACTGGCTTCCTAGCCTAGCCTATTTGTGTCCTTTTATTGGGGTTAAATCCAGAAATTAGCAAATGGAAACTAAACATTATCATCACTTGCTAATAAGACCAATCTGAGAGAATAGAGAAGATGTTCCAAATGCTGGCAACTCAACTAATAGGCGAACCCAAAGTACAGAGTTCTAGCAAATAGTTGTCATTACTAAGAAGCCATGGCCCTAAGTTTGGAAGACATGAACAGGGCTGTTGATAACAGGGTGACTTGGAGTTTTCTTATTCATAGGGTTGACATAAGTCAAAGCTGACTTGATGGCAATTAGTAACAATAAAATATGCATAACAAATTCCATGGGATGCTCCACAGGTGGTCAACAGGATTATGGTGTGGACACAGTATGCTAGAAAATTTGCAAGGCAAATAGACTGCTATCAAAAACCAGAAGTCAACAAAGCCTCTTCACACTATATGCTAATCTCCAGTAACAACAAAATGTTTTTCATACTTTACAAATCAAGGTTTCCACTCTCATGCTATTCTAGGTCTCATTTTCTGTCGTGATACATAAATATGGCACCTAAATTAAAGTGTGTGTATAATTTTAGTGAACTGTGCTATTCTTAACTTTAGCTGGGCACTCTGGCGAGACACAGACTGCGCTATCATTTCTATTCTGTGCTTTTATGCCCAACCAGAAATTTAATCGCTTCAGCTATGACTTGGTGTGCATTCTTATATCTAGTGTTTTCAGTGGCAAAAGGTGCTATGCTACACAAACAGATCTTCTCTGCTAACATACATTTTGTTCAACTTTTTTGTGAAACTACATTTTAGTTCACAGGAAAAGTGACATTGCCTCCATTATTTATAGTCTTTAGACCCCATAGGCAAGAGAAGTCCAAGATCAATATAATCTGTTTCAAAAAGAACTGCTGCTCTAACAACGCCGCGGTTTTTTTGTTT